AGTCTTGACCATGACGTTGAATGTGCGGCGAAAGTTGGTGGCGAAGCTACCGAATCGGTTTCCGATGGTGATGAAACCGTGCATGCGGTGGAGTTTTGCACGTGGAGTGGCTGGTCCAACAGTGGGACCAAGTGGATAGCGTAATCCTCGTAAGTGAACCGAGGACATGCGACATCACATTCTCCCCAGATGTGTAGGAGGTCGCTAGCAAGGCGGTCGAATCTGGCGGAGTGAGAGGTGGAGTCGCCTCACCTCCCGCGCGGCTCAGTTTCCCGAGCCGGTTCAAGGTCGAACATCCTCCTTGCCTTGATCTTGGCATTGGGAGGTCTTGTGTTTGGTGTTGTTGCACCAATAGCAGCAGCCGTATTGGCTGCGGTACTTGTATTCGGCCTCAGTCAAGTTGAACTTGACCCCTGGTACTGGCTGTCCATTTCCGGCTGGCGATGCTGTTTTCGCCTTCCCTTTTCCACGGGAGTTGTAGTTGCTTCGCGGTTGGACGGCGGCCACCTGATCTCCCTCACGTTATGCTGGGGTGAATGCCGGGTCTTTCACAAGGTTGTCCGGTAGGACTGCAGCGACGGGCTGCGGACGCGGACCAAACTTTCCTTTCTCCACATAGGCTGGCTGCCACGTGGCTTTCTCATGTGCAGCAGCCCGGTTGGTCTTGATGATCTCACGAGCCTTGTCGATGATTTTGGCGAAGATCGTGTATTGTTTGCGATCACCGAGTGCGAGGCTCAAGGCGGCACACGACCGGTTGTAGAACTCCCGGCGCAGATGCGAAAATGGCAAGTCGAGATCAGGTGTTGCCACGATCTTTTGCCATTCCGTGAGCCAGTCGCGTGACGGTGTGTTGCCTTGAGTCATGGCGAAGAGGCGGTTCGTCAGATCTTCCCAAGAGATCTTTTTGTGCAGGTCTGCGACCTGGACGCCGTTGATGGTTGCCAGCCATGGTTGTGTTATCTGTGCCATGTGCGAAGGTTTTTTTTTTGTCAGGACCTTAGCCTTTCTAGTGTGCCAAGCTGTAGGAGTCCCTAGAGGGTCCCCCTGTTCTTCAGTCTGTCTGTACACTTGCGAAGGGAGGATCCTCCTAAGTGTACCATTGTTTCAGATATCACAACTTGTCATGAGCACGTGAAGTTTCTTCAATCAGCAGGCTGTCATGGCAGTAATGTCTACATTGTCCAATGACTTTTTTGGCTGTAGCTGTATCTGTTTTCTTCTGCGTAACACACCAAGTATACCGTCATCTACAAATCTCAGTCCTGAAAAAAACTTTGCGTCAGTCTGAATGACTCGCCCCCATCTGCTCCTGGAAGACTGCATTCATGATGAGTGGGCTGGATGCTTGGCCCATTGGCACTCTATGAATCGGCCTCTTTTTGTTTTTTTGTTTTTGTTTTTGTTTTAAATCCGCTTTCCTTGGACAAGAAATATGTGTGCTTCAATTTGAATTCATTCGGGCGATTGCCTAGACTCGGACATTGTATTGGACAGAGACATTGGGGTTTATTGTTGAAGACCAGAGTTGCACAGGCTAGCAGTTGGCACCCCTTGGCAGCCGACCGGTTGGCTGGTCAGTGGTCGCCAGCACCCTGCAAAAAAAAAGACAGAACTTGTTTTTTTTTTGGGAGGGGGGAGTCCGTAAAACACCCCCATACAAGCTTCCCAACACCCCTAAACCACCCCCCAACACCTTCATAACCACCCCCTCCCAATACTACACCTACTCATACTTCTCCATACCCCCCCTATACCCCCCCCCTTGTACCCCCCCGTACCCCCTCCCGTCCCAAAAAATTCTCAGTGGATTCAGCAAGCGCAGTACTGCCCCACAGTCAGATTTAGAAAAAAATCACTGGATGGCTGTTTACTGAGTAGCTGGCAGACCGCTGACCGGTAGGCTGCAAAATGGTCGGCAGGCGGGGTAGGCGGTCAGCAGGTATGCAACCCTGTTGGAGACTATATATTCGCAGGGCTATTTGAGTTGACGTCTTGTCTTCTTCTTCCCCTTTGTCTCTTTCTCATCCCCCTTGTCCATGGATGTACGTGTGTGAGCACAGCCACTTCTCTGCCGTGTGTGTGTGTTGCCGTGCCATTCCAACGTGAGTATGATGATGGATGTACGCAGTCATTCCTGAGTCATGATGAGTTAGATCTGTCTATTTCAGTCTTCCACTGCATTGTTATTGCTCTTTCTCCTTCGGTCGGCTCTTGTGTGCTCTGCCATGCCTTTCTGACTCTCAGGCATGTGACAAAGAGTGAAGGAAAGAGGAGGAAGAAGAAGATGCTCCTCTCATCTCACCTCCATCCTCTCACACCTCATCACCTCCTCTAGTGTCCGATTACTTCCCCTTATTGCTAGCCTTGTAAAGAGCCCTCCTTTAGCCTCGTACACCTTCTTTCTACCTTGGCACATCATCTGGCCATGGTGGAAAATACAAGCCCTCCTCGGATGTTCAAAGGGCAATGCATGCTTGGAGATGAAGATGCAAGTCCACCATAGCCAAAGGTGAGTCTCCTTCCTGGTTCCCACCTCCTTCCTCCTTCCTCCTCTACTACACCTACATAGCCTACCTAGATGTCCTCCCCCCTCACCTCCATGGACTAGAATCCCGACCGGGCCTCTGTCAAATTCCAGTTATGTCCCTGGGTCCCACACTACCCCCAATACATCTTGTTGCCAGCTTTTCCATCCTGCCCCTGGCTGTATCCCTATGACTACCTTGTCCCTGTCCGAGGCGCAGCCGCACAACACGACCAACAAAGCTAGCACACGGACCCAGACTTGGACTCAGGAAGGCACATGACACATCAGGAATGAAGTCAGTTGAAGTGAGAATCAAAGGTTTAGGTTATGGAAAGCCTTCGGCCTTACGTGGTTTACAATTATAACCAAGATTAGCGATGTAACTCCAACGCCACATAACGGATGCTGTCCTCCTAAGAAACGCCGCGTATAATATCATGTCATCACTTCTGAGGATTGGCAGAGGCACGGACGAAGGAAGTGCTGGCGAGCCTCTGCTGCATTGATTTGACAAAATCGGCGATTTGGGTAATCAACGATAAATGGTCTTTGTTTTGATACAAACAAATACAAAATGGCTATGTTAGAAGGTGCAAAATTAAGTGGAGCGGGCTGTGCAACAATCACATTAGCTGGATCCGCTGTAGGTATTGGAAACGTGTTTAGTTCTTTGATTCATTCTGTTGCATGAAATCCTTCATTAGTGGTAGATCACATACATACATAGAAAACACAGCAAATCACAGCAAAACAGGCTCAAACTCGGTATTCCCCGATAAAAAAGACATCATTTTCTCAGACATTCCAGAAATCTCAGGCAGCGATTTGTGCGCGCATTGTAGGATTTTCAAAATTGAGCAGAGCAGCATGAGGTGTGCCCCCTCAAGGCACACACATGGTTTTTAAAATCATTGTTTTTCTTTCTGGTTTTCAAAATTGTGCACATGGTCCCTTTGATCCATTTTCTCACTTTTTATTTTTGCTGTTGGTTTATTTGGTGTCCACTCCATATACTGGTGAGAAGTCTGGCTTAAAAGGTGTGGGACGTTTGTTATAATGACCATGAAAAAACCCTGAAAATTTAGGGCTCTGTTAACCGGTTCTCCCTGGAAAAGTCGATTTTTCGAAGTCGCTCCCCAAAATCGAAAGAGTATGCACTTTCAAATAATAGTGTAAGACACATGTATGTTCTATTCGAACAGAGGGGTGCTCTATTCAAATAGAACATATGGGTGCTCTCTCTCTCTCTCTCTCTCTCTCTCTCTCTCTCTCTCTCTCTCTCTCTCTCTCTCTCTTTCTCTGCCTTATGTGGAGGTCTTCTTGGCGGCTTACTGCGATGGTGGATCTTGGTGGGTGATGGCGATGGCGGATCTTCACTCCAAGCTTGCATGAACGTCCGACTACACTGTTAGAACGTTACGCACAGCTGGTAGCGGGGTCGGCTCTTTGAATGCTACGTAGAGCCGGGGGGCTCGCTCCACAACTCTCTGCATGCACAATAGACAAAAAATGTGGTGATGCATACTTCCATTTTCTAGGCTAAGATTCATTCACATTTTTCACATTTCGTGAGTAGCAGAGAGGGGGGCCCGGTGTCAGGCTCTTGTGTTTTTTTTTTTTTTTAATGCATGCCTCGAAGGACAAGCCATATCTTTTCAAAGGTAAAGGCATATACTTATTTTTTTTGGGGGGGGCGTTTTCTGAAGTTGGTGCCCAATATCCATAGCATAATGCACGTGTGTTGTATATGAATACAATGCACGTCGTCTGTTCTATTCATACACAATGCACTTGCGTTTTGTTCGGGGGAAGACTGTAGCATAATATTCTCCACTAGGGATTTGCGACTGGGATGTACGGTGACTGTTAGCGATCGCTAATGTGCTAACAACACCACCATCACATGATTGCTTACCGCATGCAACGCATGTGATTACCTTGGATGATGAACACGCATTTGGACCTCATGGCCAAGAGCCACTCCTCTATAGGAAGGACAATGAGCAACGATATGAAGTCTGTCAAGCCTCATGGCCACAGCACCCCGAGCTCACACTGCAACAGCACCTAGGGCCTTCTCCTTCGACCAGTGAGTTGGAGCACTTCTCCAAGCTCCCCACCACATTGCTCTTTTTTTTCCCAGCTCACTGGGCCCCACCTAGCCATCCTCATTTTCGCCTAGTGTATACCAACTCCCCCATCTTGAGGCACATCGAGGACCTCACATGGATCTATCGGACACATATAGAGACTTGAACACAGGCAAACAACAAGCACACTCAAGACACGGAAATCTCAGCAAATCAAGACTACAATCAGCAATATCCAGAAAACCACAGATGTCTCAGACTGGTTCTGTGAATGTCATTGCTCTGATTATTGATGCCCTTTGCTGTTCCAAGCAACAAATAAAGAGAATGACAACGTGGCTTCTTCTACTTGGGAACTGAATGGAAATGCTGTGTGGCAGGCGGCTTATCTGTGGGAAAATTGGTCCTCAGTGCAGCAGCTCAGCATGTTACACCAGTTACACTTGAGCTTGGTGGGAAATCCCCCACAATTGTGGATGCAACTTCAGACCTCCGGGTAAGGAACTAACATCTTCCCCTTGCACTGCTTCTGGCTGTCTGCACCAGCCTTCTTGCCTGTCTGCCTGCCTCAATGTTTGCCTGGCTGTTTGTCTGTCTCTTGATGCATGCCTGGCATGAACTGTCGGCAATGCAAAGGATCACCAATATGAGGAAGAGATGCAATGTAACACAGCTGAAGACTCAAGGCGATAGGACCGACTGACAATGCAGCAAAATGACAATGTGGCTCAGACCAGGGGGAGGGGTCCAGTCATAGACAAACCTAGATGGAAAGAAGAAGAAGAAGAAGACCCAATGAATGGCAATGTAATGACTTGCAAAATCGCAGACTGAGACTGAATGACTTGCTGAGATTCCTGTATTCTGCTGAGATTTCTGAGTATGTGTGAGTGCATGATTGCTGAGTTTCCGTGTGTTTGTCTGACTGCATGATTGCTTGGGTGTGAGTGTGACCCGCCAAGGTACTTGTATGCTGGAAAGGCCCTCAGGCCTGGTGCTTACCTGTGGCCGTGCAGCGGGAACTTAGCGGTAGGCTAGGCCCGTGTAGGATGAAAAACACTAAAGTAGCAGGTAGGCCAGGCCCATGTAGGATGGAAAACACTTGAGAAGCAGGTAGGTAGGAAGAAGAAGACAAAAAGGTGTACCTTTAGAGGCCAAAGGAATTTTTAGAGTCCAGTAGGCTTAGGTTCTAGAGGTACTGGTCTGAGTCTAGGGCCTGCAGCGAAGGATATTAGACTGCAATGATGTTTCCCTCTGAAAGGAGGAAGCTACCGGTAGCTTGGGAGGCCGAGCGGCCTGGAAAGTCACTGCCCATGGAGGCAGCAGTCGGGTATATCTTGGAGGAGAGCAAAGAGCTCCTCATTTTGCGGTGTGCAAGTTTGGCGTCACGCTGCTGGAGCGAGCGCTTGGTCTACCAGCACTGGGGAGGAAGAAGGCGGGCTTGGCCCGCCACCTTGGCTATGGTGGAGAGGACCAAGGAGGAAGACTCCCAGGAGGGGAGGAAGACAGTGCGCAAGGAGGAGAGTGATGTGGCGGTCTGCAGCTTCATCTTCTTGGTTGGCGCTGCACCTGGAAGGCCCCAAGGGGGGTCGGCTTCATCAGGGAGGACTTCGGGGTAGTATTAGGCATGGCGGCATTGTAGGAAGAACACATTGTCTTTGCCTGGCCTTTCAACATCAGAGGAGGGCTCCACTAGTCTGGCATAGCCATCTACTTCGCCGAGTAGGAGGGAGGTGTATGAGATGGCTATGGTGAACCTCATGAGGTGCTCGCATTAAGGAGGAGATTTGGACATTGGTTCTGGTTCATTCTTTCATGGTTTATTATTACTACTATTGAAAAAAAGAAGTTAGGGGAGTTCAAGGAGAGTTCAAGGAGGTTGGAGATGGTGGCAAGTTGGAAAGGGATTTGACATTGGTCTTTGCTGGTGTACATCTTCTTCTTCTTCTTCTTCTTCCATTCTTATTTCTTCTTCATCCCTTGTCTATTTCTCTTTCCAGGTTCTTTCATTTCACTTGCAACTGAATGACATAGTCTCTCCTTTGCCTTTCTCTCCACTCAACCTCCAAGTGCCCTCCGACAATGAATCCAGATCCAAGTCAGGGAGATGGACTCTCTAGTACCAATGTAGTTTCCAGTCTCACTCTCTCAAGGGAGGAAGAATCTGGGCCGTCCGATAAGAACATTGATCAGGCAGCTTAGGTGTCAGACCAGTACTTGACAACTGGCCTGGCCCAGTTCTGGAAGGAGCTGGGCCAGCAACATGCAACAGTGTGTGCCAGCCATCTGTAAAGACTCTGAAACAGTAAACAGCTGGTCTGTAGGAAAGTCGCATGGACTCCAACAAATATGCAGAAGTTGGAGTCGAAATAGACAAAAAATAAAACAATAAAGAAAAGAAAAAAATAACTCACGCACGAAGCAACAGGAAATTGTTGACAAGTTTAAAAAAGAACGACTGGGAGAAGGAAAGCTAGGAGACATTGAAGGCAATACACCACGGTTAGCCTGGAGAATTGCAGGGACCCAACAGAGAGTTCAACATAAAGAGACAGAAGACCTGACTACACTTGTGCTGGCACCATCACAATCAGTTAACCTAGGCTTGGTATAATTAGAATGACACTTTAAGAGAGACATGAAGTAGGTTAGGATAAGAATTATCAGTCCATTAGGATTAACCTTCAGAGAAGTTTCAGGGTTTAGGGCTGAGGAACAGCACATGTTTTATCTCTTGGACTAGGAACTGGTAAATCACGCAGCATTATAACCGAGGGCTTAGGGCTTAGGATTTATATACAGAAACTAGGCAAATAGGGTTTTAGATTTGTAACTTTTTCAAGAGAATCATACGCATCCCAGAACACTCTGGTAAAACACACCTACCCAGCGGTTTCAAAACTGAGAGGAGCAGAACTGGGATTAGATGGATTGGCAAACTGAGATAGTACCGGCTAACTTAGGCAGGGGTGAGGGGTTGTACATCCTTCCTCGGGGAAGTAATCAATGCCGTCCACTCGGGCCCCCAGCCATAATGGGGGGGAGCATGCGTGAGTCTCTTATGTATCTCTTATTGACTTGCCGGGGGAAAGGAACCGGGCTGTTGCTCCCCAGAATGGTAGGAGCCAGAACCATGAGGTTCTGTTTTTTTTTCCACACACACACACACAAAAAAAAAAAAAAAAAAAAAAAACTCACGCAGCCCTCAGGAAAACATGCAAGGCAAAAACGTGCCTCACGGCCATAAGGTCGCTCCAAAATGGGGGTTGCATGGCCTGAGGGTCGTGCTGCCCTAAGTCGGGTCCCCCAGCGCCCATGTGGAGGGGCCGTGCATGCCAAATCCCCCCTCCTCAAAAGCCGAGCTACCTTTAGGGCAAAGCTGTTGATCTGAACGGGGAAACCGAACTTGGGTTAGGCAGGAGGGCTGAGCTTGAGAGGCTGCGTGGGCATGTCATTTCCGCTCATACTGGAAGTCATGTTGGCAGCAGTAGCCTCAAGCTCTGCACGGGTGAGCCAACGATATGTACTCGGATGGTAATAAGTGCAGTGTACGTTGTACTGCATTGGCTTATTCCTGTACCAGCGGTCCATGATGATATGCAAAACCTCCTGAAAACCATCCATGGAAGGAGGGTCTTGTGAAATTTGTCCTAAGGAATCTTGCTCAACTGAAATGAAAGGAGCAAGCTTGGATGAATGGAAGACTGGACGTACACGCAAGTGAGGTGGCACACTGAGAACAAAAGGAGGTCCTTACGACTTGTTGCCAATTGCAGACAGAATTGGCAGAAGTCTAAGCCATTTGGTGAGGGCCTAAGCTGAACTCCTCAGCGGGAACCTAAACGAAGTCACCAGCTCAGAAAGGAGAAGGTATCCGGTGCCGGTTGGCCTACTGCTTCATACGTTGCGAAGCCTTCTGCATTTTGTCTCTGGCCTTGAGGAGCAGGTTATGCACTTGTGTATGGGGGACAGACATCACACTCCTCTGAAGAAGGGATAAGGGAATCTGTGGGAAATCCAGCTGGTTCTGTGCTCAAGCTTGAAAGGAGACAGGAGACGGCCACAGTTGTGAGAATACTGTCATGGCCAAACCGTTCTCGTAGAAAGGGCCCGATGATATACATCGGAATAGAAGTGTGGGGCCAAAGCCAATTTGCTAGGGACAGCAAATCCTCGCATGGTGCATGGTTGCATGGATTACATCACTTGCAGACTTTATAAGAGTCACAATATCGTGTGACATCCTTCATCAAGCCTGGACATATGAATTGCTTGCCGGGCAACTGTGTGGTTGGCACTATGGTGGATTGTGAGTCGCGAATCGTGGTACCCGCCAAGTAGCGCCGTTTGCAGAAGTTGGTCCTGGGGTGCGCAAACTAAGTCTTCGCCCTGCGAATGTAGAAGTAGAAACCCATCTTGGATACAATGGCACTATGTTGAAGAAGTTGAAGATGGAAGTTTCTCGTAAATGCCGCGAAAGTCGGGATCGCACTGCTGCTGCTGATCCTTGAAGCATGCCCAATGGGCCAATGCGTAGGGAGCCAAGGATCCGCAATGTGATGAAAAGGACTGAAATGGACAATGCAAGGTCAGCGTAGCATCAACAAGCAATGTACATTCCGATACATACAAGATGGCACAAAGTGGTGCAGCGGAAAACTTAAAGAGAAGATCTGATCTGATCTGGACTGACCCGACATCCATCATACATCACACCTGTGAGAGGGGAGGAGGGACCGCAATCACAGAAGAAAGGTCCCGCCTTCACACACGTACATGGGGAGATACACGGATGAGAGATGGGGGAAAGGGGCAAGACGAAGGAGCAGGGGCGAGGGAGTAGACCAAGATCGCAATAGCGAAGTCCCAAAAATAGTCCCTTGCCGAGTGTCCAATCAATGTCTGTCCCAGAAATGTCGAATCAGATCCTGGGCAATGTGCCCAGCATAACCTCTGCCTGTATCACCTACTGATAACCTCTCCTACTCTCGTATATGGAGATGAAAATAAGAAGGAGGAGGAAGGAGGAAGAAGAAGGAGGGAGAGAGAGAGAGATGGAGGAGGAAGAAGAAGGAGACGACGTCCTCCTTGCTATCTCACCTGCAGGTAGCTGTCACCGTACTGACTGTGGTCGTCATCGTGTGCAGGTACCGCGTGGAGCCCAGCTATGGCGCCAGGTAAGTTCGCCGCTTGCAGGTAAGGCCTCCACCTCCCTCTACCTCCGACGCCTCTACTCCCTATTCCGAAGTGTAGCGCAAAATAACGCTGCCTCCAACCAGCAGCGTGTCACTCAGAAGTGAGCTACTCGAACTGTCCCTTGCCCAGCCGCTGCCCAGCTATTTGTAGCGCTGGGCAGGCTGGGCCTACCTGATGCTGGCCTCAGAAAACGGCCCAGCTGGTCTGGGTCCATATCGGACGTCCAGACCACGCTGCTGATGCAGCAAGGCACAGAAATGCGCCTGGCCTAAGAACGGCCCGTTCCTGTGCACCTAGCCC